CTGAGCCTTTTAGTCTGAGCTCTTGGACTAGCTCTTCATCTTCAAGAGAGTACTTTCCTATTCTTAGAGTACACACAAAGTAATGTGTTTGGGAGCTGGGTACTTCTTAAAATGTCAGAGTTGCCTGGTTGTAAGACAAGACTTGAATGTGTGCTGCATCACTGCAAGCCAACCTGGCCACTGAGCAAGGTTAGGAATAATATGCTTTGTGTGGCAGCATATATCTTTGGTAACAGACTGCAGAAAAACAAAATTACAAATATATTAAGGTATATTTAATGCCTTGGCTCCCTGCCTGCCCCTCCTCCCCTCCCTTTGCTGTTTCAGCTTCTCAGTTGCTGTTTTGTTCTCTTTTCTTAAGCTGGAATCTCCTTCTGTCAATCTAAGATGTTAATTTAAATGTGTGGTGCTTCCTCCTCTACTCTGTTGCTGCTTTCCTTGGGGATAAAAACCTAATGCTCATATTAGGGCAGGAAGTATGCTGTTAAGTAGATGCTGGACTGAAATGCAGACCCTGAACTTTCTTTTTCCCTGCAGTCAGCGACCTCAGATTTTGGAACATGTGAGCTCTTTGCAGACCAAACAAGTGACAAGACTTTTTTGGGCTTTTTTTTTAAATTTTTTTTTACTTCATGCTTAGAGGGATGGGACTGATTCTAGACCTAATGAAATAAGTGGGTCATTTGAGAAGCTTTGAGAAGCTCTTGTTTTATTGTCTTATTCCATTCTATGTGTGCATTTTTTACAAGACAGTTATGCCCTTCTGTGTGTGTGGGAGGAAGCCAAGGGAGAAGGCTGCATTGAAGCGCTCATCTCCAGTGTCAGACTGAACAGTCACAATTATATTTAGACTAAGTAGCTATAGGAATAGTTTATTTTGAAGTTTAACTTAACGATTGCACTTCAAAGAACCACATATTGGAGATAAAAGTTGGTACTTTTAACACAGCAAAATTACTAAGACTGAATGTATGCCATTAGTGGAAGAAAATAAAAATCAGTGATATGAAATCGGAGTACTGGGAAATATGATTAGATAGATCTGTTGAGGTTTCTAAAGATTACTGCCTGGTCTACAGAGAGCTGGCTAAGTACATTGCACTACTTCCTTCTTATAGCTATTTTTTTTTTTTTAATGAAAAGGAGCTAAAATTAAACGTTTTGTAGATAAACAACCCTGTAGTTAATCTGATTAATGCTGATTTCTTCATGATTATAAGTAGGAATGAAGGTCTTAAGATAGCCAATTAGTATGAATCTACTTTGTTAAAACATGTGACCTAGAATCAAAACCTTTTAAAATTTCTAGGAAATAGTTTATATTTTACTGTGTTTAGTACAAGGATTCCTTTGTTCCATAACTTGGGCTTCCTGGACCACTGTTACAGCAAAGGTGTTTGTGGTGTGTGTTTGTTTGGTTTTTTGGTGGTTGTTGTTGTTTTTTGTTTGTTTGTTTTTCAACTTTCTTTTTTAAGCTAGCAAAAAAAATAAACTTTTTCCAGGAGAGATTTCTACATGTTTCTTCTTTTCTTCCCCCAGTTGTCCTGTACTGTGCTCGTGAGCAGAACAAGAAGCTGCATACCTACTCTCTTTAAAATGTAAAAATGATAATTTACTAAATATGAAAACACTTATATTCACCTAAAAGGGGGCTAGCTTTCTTTAATGTATTACTATAAGGAGTAAACCTGCTGTTAGAGAAAAAAACGTTAAAAAATTGCTTTTGGTGGGAATTTATGCTGCTGATTGTATTATGTATACTTTTGTATAGCTATTGAATAGTCTTGTATTTAAAACCAATGTCCTGACTAAACTGACATTGCAAATAAAGATGATAAATTTTTGAAAGGAGTCTTTCCACTTGTGAACAAGATACAAAGAACAGATGAATGTCAGAAAAAGGGAGATCTTGGTTGGATTGTTCTTTTTCTTTCCTTTAGTGCTCAGTTACCATGGTGCTCTAGCAGGATGGCGTAGCTACAAGGGAAATGGTGCTGGTGTGGGGATCCCATTGTTAAGTTTTTCATGAGTTTCCAATACAAATAATTTACATTTCCTTTTGTGATAGCTCTCTAGGATTTTCTTTAAATACATAGGAGAGATGATTCCATTTTGGAAGACCAGAAATATTTAAGAACGCTTTATAGGCTCTTGTGTTTTGTCCATAGCTGTTGCAGGATCTGCATAGCTTTCTCTCAAGGCCAGCACTTTGCTAACATACCAGACTGGCAGCTTGTCAGTTCAAGCCAGTAATTTAAATCTTTGGTGCTAGTCAAAGCTGTCAACTTAATAACAGCTTACTGCATAAACAAGCTTGAGGGACTTATTCTAGGTCATTAGTATAAGAAGTTTCACATACTGAATTGATGTTTAGCACTGCAGATTATTTGAAAAGCTAGGCTTGTTTGAAAGAAAAGTAGTAGTTTGCTTAAACAACTTGGCTTTATGTGCACAGCCTTGATCACTGGAATGGGTAGCAGTAGTCACGTTGGAAATGGAGCAATGTTAAACAGGTAAGTTTTGATTTTTGAGGAAATACAAGGTCATATGATTTTTTTTTTTTGAGTCAAACAAAGGCAGAGGAGGCACATTGGCGTGGTAGACATCTCAGCATGCTGTAGTGGGAAAGATCTGCTTTGCCATGCCTTGAGTCACCACAGAGGTCAATAAAAAAAGTAGCGTGGGAGGTGGTACAAGTGAGTGAATAATGGTGCATATACAATGGTTTGGCTTGTATGACCCAGCATGCTGAGGACACATACATGTTGCAGTCATCTAAATGCTTAGTAATACTACATAGAATATAATCAATACTTCACATTTTTATGCTAGTTTTTCCCAACAAAATGTTTCACCAGTAGTAGTACAAAAGCTTTTCACTGGTGTAAGTAGTACATATGTGGTAATTTTCTTCACCTCAAGAGAGTGAGGTGGTCTCTTAGGGTGGTAAGATATACACACTACCTTGTTTGCAGGAAAAGCTGAAGAGCAAGTGGTCAGAGGTAGTAGTAGTAGTGTAATCATTAGCTAAACTCCACCTCGATTTGAGGAACATGCTCTGACCTCAGCTCGGGAGTTGAAATTTGTCTCATTCTCACAACCCCTGCACCATCAGGAAGTGTAGCAAGACTCCAGGTCATTGCATGGGTGCAGTGGTGTTTTGAGTCCTTATGGAGTCTCGAAGGTTTCTGGTGACCAGTTGTTAAAGGGTTAACAGGCACCATCCTCTTTCATCTGTGAAGCTCAACAGGATCATGCCATACGCTTTAGTAAGAGGAAGGTTGTCTGTGTACTTAAAAATACTGTATTTTAAACATTGAACAATTTGACTAGCTCTGATACAGGCTTCCTTAAACAGTAAAAAGAAGTATCTGTACTCTCTGGAAGCATTTAATTGTTGAAAACAGGATCATCTACTATATAATGAACTGCAGCTATGATACTAAAATAAATTAATATTTTGTAGTTAACAATTTTGCTTTAGATTACAGTCAGGACTAATTGTGTTCATTTTGCTGCACATCAGTATTTCACACAAACTGTTCATCCATTTTTCCTTGTTTAAAATTTGTTTTATGTATCTTTTAAATTTTTTAATAAATAAAATATGCCTGAGCAGATGATGTGTTCTAGTTAGCCATATATAGCTACACTAAAGATCTGAAGGTTCCTTCTTTAAATGTCTTAAATATTTAATTTTTTGTCTGTATAAGCAATTTTTAAGTTTTTGTTACATTAAGAGTTTCTTATATTTTCTCCTGCTATTTTGATTTTTGAAATATTAGATAGGTAAAGCAAAGCGACTCCTTTTCCAACTGAAGACATGGGATGGTAAGAAATGTACAATTGCTTCATTTGTTTTCAAAAATCAGGCTGGAGACTATAAAAAGTAAACACCGTCAGATCCATGGAAGAAAACATTAAAGCCTTTTATGTTTTGGTTAATGCAGATGAAGTCATGTAGATTCTTTTATATAATGTGCCTCTTTAACAGGCTGGCTGGAAATTGACTTCTTGGCAGCTGTACAGTGCAAAATATGATGGATAAAGTTCTGTTCCTGTTTCAGAATAGTGTGAGCATGTCAGAGTTGTACTAGGACAATTTCAGTCTTTTTTTCTTCTTTTCAGTTTAATTCAGCTGATATTAGTTAAACCAACTACTAAATTAATGACAGCACATTTAAAAAAAACATAGCTTTGAAATGTTGTTCGTTTAGTACTTTTTGGAGTGGAATTTTCTTTCTGCTCTGGATCCTGATGCTGCTGAGGAGATAGATGGGTGTAGCCCTGAGGGTGATGGGTCCATGGTGAGAAAACACATTTTGTTGTCTTTATTTCTTCATTGAGACTTTGCTGGGTTTTGAGATCACATGGCATTCTGCAAGAACTGTAATCCCGTGGGTCAGCTGGGTAGGTAGGGGAAATGGATGTAGCCTTGTAACCATGAGATCAATCGATGTCTCTTTGGTTCTGCTTTAGCAAAGCATCTAAGAGTGCTTAATCTCATCCTGGTTAAGGAAAGCGTTGGCATCTATGTGTAGATACTCAAGAATTCATTGTGCTTCTGTGGTTACAGGTGTTCTGAAGTGTCTACTGAAATGACACTACAGTCCCTAATGCAAATCCCCTGTGTTTCCAGTTCCCAGTATGAGCTGACAGCTGGTTACAAGTCAGTTATCGTTTGCTTTGATTTGTCTCTTTCACCCTGGAAGATTCAGCAGTACTGGGATGTTTGCAAAAAGCAGCAAGCCAGAACAGTGCACGCTTCCTTTTGAGGCACAGCAAAACGACTGAATGGCTTGTTTTTACAGCTTAAAGCTTTGCAGATTTGTAGCTACCATGACTTTAATGATGAATAAGAACTGCCCACACAAGGAAAGAGATCTAATGGTGGCTGAAGGCAAGCAAACTGAATATATGCTCCATATAAGGCAATGTGTGGGAGACACATTTGTTACATACTGAGTATCTGAGCAAAACCATGTGTCATGTTTCCTTAGGTTCTCAACAGGAGATGTGTAGAAGCCGCAGTGATGACAGGCCTGGCACTCAACTGCAGCATAAACAAGAAGTCCTTGTTTGACAGAAAACACTATTTCTATGCAGATCTGCCTGTAAGTATGGAGTATAGCTGGCCCCTTTATGGCTGTAGGAGAGGAGAAGTCTGGAGTACAGATTGCAACAGGGGATGAGTGAAGAGATGCTTTTTCTGTTTTCAGTCAGCGTTCTGCTCCCCCCAACAGGATGCTGCACTGCGCCCTGATGAATAGGCAACTGTACCCTGGTGCTCACTGATTGACTATGATTGCTCTGATTGCTGACTCCTTGCTTAGCTGCACGATTCCAGTAGCTTAATGTAATTGAATTGGGAGCTGGAGCTGCTTTGCCCCTTAAGTTCTCCATTCCTGGTGTTTAGTACTAATTGTCTGTTAGGGTAAAAGCAGTCTGATAATAGTCCTTCAGTTAAAGTGAATGTATAACAAACACAGATTCCAATGGTATAAACATAATGGTGTCTTTTTGTGCATGTGCTTTAGGGACCTAAAAAAATATTCAACATGCCTTCAAAATTTTCTCAGTTCCAATGAATTAAGAAAAAGTTTGAGAAACTGAGTCTTTGTGGTATGATTTGTTGGTAGCTTTCATATTGGTACAGTGTGTCAGTGGAAGTCAAATGCATTTTGCTGCACTTGATCTGGGTGTAGAAATATATAAATCATCTAAGAACCTGACTTCTGTCTTTGCAACAGGATGCAGCAGTGTTTGAGCATTTTAAATGTTTTTAATGAAATTAAGCCTTTCTAATTTTAAGCTTTTTTTTTTTTTTCCCGTCATCTTGTTTGTACTGAAAGTTCATTTAACACCAACCTGTTGAAGGGAGGACACTAGTTTTACCTCTGCTCTATTTTGGGGTGAGGATCTGATGACTGCATTAAAAGGGGAAAAAAAAAAAAAAATCTGTTTCCTTTTTATCTGAGGAAGATCAGGCATGTTAGCTTATCCTTGCTTTAGGTGAGGTGTCCTGGACATCCAGAGAAGCAGAGTGGGGAGATCTCTCATGTCCCAAATTAATGTGTAGAGGAGCTGTTTTCTCTCCCACTCTTTTCTTCAGGCATTGGAAATGTATGTGAATATATTTTGTGTAACTTCAAAATAATTGTTTCCCACCTCAAAGCAAAAAAAGAGAGGTGTTCACTGGAGATCTGTTATAGCTGTCCACTGGAGATCTGGATCTAAGAAGAGATTTCTGTCCGTTTTCTTCAGGTTGGGGACTTATGGCTCTTCTGTGAAGTTGATAGTTACTGAGTTGGTTTCTGGGGATAGCTTTGCTCTTCTCTGTGAGCCATTAAGAAGCCCTTCTGTTGGGTGCTTTGTAGCGAGCTACTGGGAACGTGAAACAAACTTAGCAGTTTAAATTGCCAGTACTTTTTTTTTTTAACTTGCAACACTATCTTGAAGCCCATTTCCAGCTCTGAAGGAGAAAAAAGTGAAATGACAGGAAATAGACATGGCTTCCAAAATTCGTTTATACATCATAAACACGAAGAACATCACAGACTTGTTTGCAGTCCACCCTTGGTGCTTCTGCTGTTAAACTGAAAACAACCTCTCATGTTCTTGTGGTACCTGCTGCTATCAGTCTGCTGCATAGAAGCTATATGGAAGAACATTGTCATGGGAAGGAAACTACATCCGTGTGTTTAGAGGAGTAGAGCGAGGTGGAGGAAGGTGTCTACAGCACCAATTGGGCTGCTGTTGTCTACAGATGGGAGTTACAGGATCCTTTAGTCAGATAAGCATGGAAATTTGGTCAAAGAGATATGACACATTTTATTAGCTTGGAACGTGTAATTCTGGTTGACTTCTGCAGTTTAAACACCAACAGTAAATAGCCCGACCTGCCTTTCATAGTGAAACAGTTTAGTCAGGAACCCTGTAATAAGATGCAGAGTTTAGGCTAATGAGCTGTATAGAACATATAAAATAAATCCAGCTTTTAGGGTCGTTTGACAATGGGATTATTGTTACTCCTGAAAATGGGGCTTTGGATGGGAAATGGGATTCTTGTTATTTATTGTCACTCACTATTTCAAGCTTTAAAAAAATCATTTTAATGAGAATTTTTAGAGAGTGAGAAGAGCTGTGTGATTAGTAAAGGCTAATCCAGACAGTTATTTTTCTTATAGTGGTTATGGCTACGGGGTCATGCACTTTATTGCATATACAAATTGAGCTGTTCACAGGGCCAGGCCATTGTTCTTCATTCCAATGCACTGTCACTGTCTATATTTTAGAATAAGCTTGTCCTTCCTGCAAAATATGCAAATACCTCTTCCAATTCATTAAAATCTAGTGGGCTTTTTAAAAAATTTTGACTATTGGTGGCATGAGCAGTGTAGGAAGAAGGAAGAGATGGGGACCCTGCCTCAAGAGAGTGATTGATTCCCTTCTGTGTTTCTACACCATTGCAGTTACTCGAATACCTTGTCACTGGCAGCCCCTTTTCTTGCTAGCAGTTTACCCTTTGGGTGGAGTCCCAGGCATGAGGTGACATTTGTCAGCTGTGTGCCTTATGTGGGGTTGCAGTGTCTTATCTTTTGAATTGCTACATTAATGAGATCGAGCTTTCTCATTTTCTTGATTTCCACCCCCTGCCCTTCCCTGTCCTTCTCCTCCCCTCTAATGAATAAAGTTCTGAACAGGCAGAGAGGGATATTCAGCCTGATGGGAGGATGAGTGATAGTCCCAGCTTGGGGATGGAGGTTACAGTAACTGGTTTCAGACAAGATTTAACATGATGAGGGAACCACAGGCGTGGAAGAACCTATTCCAGTCTGTTTCCTGCCCCAAGGCGATGTCGGTGAAATTTATGTCATACTTGGCAAGTGGTTGTGCAGTTCATTATTGATTATTTCTGCATTAGTGTAGTATCTTATGCTTGCCTGCATTGAGGAGCAAAACTCTTCTTTTTTTTCAACACTTCCAGCTTCTCGGAGCTATGTCTAATTCTAGACCCTTCTTTCCTAGCTTGCTTCCTTTCTAGCTAGGCAAAACAACTTCTGAATTTACATGTGCATGTGTTCTGTCCTCTTTTATCGGTCACTGTGGAAGATGTTGCATTTTCAGTTTTTTTCTTACCCTATAATATTTGCACTTGGCTGTGCTGCTGCTTTCTGAAAAGTGAATGTTTCATTTGAGTATAAAGCTAATTTTGTTGACAGGCTGGCTATCAAATCACTCAGCACAGAGTTCCTATTGCAGTGAATGGAAGTCTGTCATACAGTCTCTGCGTAGACAACAAAATGAGCCAGATGGTGACCAAAACTGTGAGGATCAAACAAATTCAGTTGGAGCAAGACAGTGGAAAGAGCCTCCATGATGACACAAGGAGCCAGACTCTCGTTGACTTGAACAGGGCTGGTAGGCTTGGATTATTTTCCTATTTTTCTCCTCCTTTCTGTGTAAGGTGAATCTTTAAAGCTAAATGGGTGACAGGGAACAGGTGACAAATAAAAACAGTCTGATGTCTCTCTCCTTAAAAATAAAAATTCATCAAAATGACCATTACACTTGAAGCAGGGAAATACTTGAATATTTTAGTGGCCAGCAGACCTTTCCCATTGCTGTTGATTGATGGCAGTTTGCAATAGGAAGTTAGAAATCTGATGGCTCCAGTTTGCTTAAAACTCTGTCAGTCACATACAGCCACTTTGCTATTTAAGCTCTTGCCACTGTATGCATTTTTCTTAAAAAAAAAAAAAAAAATCACAGACCTAGTAAATCAAGCTTGTGCATAGAAGGAGCAGCTGTTTGTCAGTGCATGAGTCAGTCATTTCTTTTAATTATTAGCTTTGAAAAAAAGAAAAATCAGATTTTCTCTTTAAGCTTTGAAATTGTGAATAGAATGAACCAAATTAGCAGATCACATGGGCAGCCTGGATGGCCTAGCCTAACTGGGGCACAGTGCTTCTGTGTCCATTGAAGTTTAGGGCTGTGACTGCTCACAGTCCTTGAAGGATGGAACCTAAAGCTAAAAAATAGGCTATGTCTGTTTACAGTTCTGTCCCAGAATTAGTTTAAGGTAAATACATTTGAATCTGGAATCAGATTGGCTTTAAAAGGCAGTTCTCCTAGAGAAAGGCAGAAGAGGAGTGTGTCCTTCTGATCTTTGTATCATCAAAGGGTGGAGGATTGTCTGCACTTTCTGTTCCTTTAAAAAAAACAGGTGGAAAAGTTTCTACAGCAACCTGCAGCTAGGTCCATACTGACAGTTACTAAATAATACATGGGGGTTTATTTTTTTGTTTTTGTTTTTTCAAGAAAAGCCTAAGTGCTTTCATGTGTTTAGCCAGTTGCTCTCTAATATGCCAAGATCAAAAGCCATTGTTGAAAATCTGTCTCCTCCCTGACAGGAGTCGGCCTCATGGAGGTTGTCATGGAGCCTGATATGTGCTGTGGGGAAGAAGCAGCTGCAGCAGTCAGAGAGCTTCAGCTCATTCTTCAGACGCTTGGGAGCAGCCAGGCAGTCATGGCAGGTACAGAAGGCGGGAGGGCACGGTCCCTTGTCACCAGTAATTCTCTGCATTTGCAGGAGTTTTGCAGCTTCTGGTTATTTTGCTCTGCAGTTGCCTATAACACATAGCCTTTTCTAGCTGTTGTTTTTACAGTCCTCAGAGGCTGTCCTGATGTCTGCCATGCTTCAGGTGCCCTAACGGGCCTGCCATCATCTGCAGAGCTTTGCAGTGCTAGATTTTATATCACCTTACACAGTATTGTTACAGGATAAACCTAGGCAGGAAGGAATTTCCCCTGGGTTCTTCTGGTGTTTCTCCCTCTCCTTACCTGCTTGCCACAGCACTGCAGCACAGAAGATCTGCAGTAAGGATTAGTTGTAGAATATGGAGGTTATAGGACAAAGCAATGAGAGCATGGAGCATCGTGTAAGTTGTGTGTCAGGTCTCAGCTAGTCATAAAATGGGTGTAGGCAGTAAACTTGTGCTAATGTTATGAGTAAGATGGAATAAACAGCACACAGCAGACGTGAGTGCTGGGGTTAATTTAAGAACCAGTGAGACTGCAGCTTTTACTTTACTTGATCATTTCACACTTCCACTCTGTGTCTTCCTCCCCTCCAGCATTATGTTCACTGGCTCTCAGTTCCTCTTCCCCCTAGGGAGATCATTGCTGGTCTGGGGAGGTGAGGCAGAAAAGGGTGATGGTTCATGCTGTGCAGCAGACTTGCAGATACTGGTCTCAGGTGTTAGAGGCCACAGTCCTTAGGCATCCCCTGGCATTTGTCTCCATGCATCCCTCTGATCTTTGGGATTCTTCCCCACCTCCAGGATCTCTCTGGCCAAGATCACTACTGTCTTTCTGAGACCACTTCCTCTTTTGGGAACCCCTAGTTCTGGCAGAAGCTCTTCTTTCTGGAATCCTGAGGCCCCAGTTTTTGCAATAGATGATGTGCAGAAGCACAGTGTGTGATCAGCCTCCTAACTGGTGCATCTGTCTCATGTCTCTCTATTAATCGGAGGATTCAAGTCCTGCCAATTTTGCTCAGCACTAATGTTACCAAAATTTACAACCAGCCCATGGTTACAGCTAGAAAATAGCAGGCTGCTGCTTGAGAATTTAAAATACAGTTTGGGGCATTCATCCTCTCCACACATACACGCAATTATCAGCTGCTTATTAGCGTTCACAATACAGGCTGTATTTTTGCCTGTGACAGTTGGCCTCACTGTTCTGGCAACAAATCCAGTCCACAGTGTAAGTGGATGCATATCCTAGAGAGCTGAATCAGAGTGGCCCATGTATCACCCAGTAAACAGGATCCAATAAATGTTGGCTAGTGATGCAAATCTAATTTAATGTAAGGGAAAATAATAATTGCTAGACATTATATATGTCTCTGAATCATTTCTCACACTAGTGTTACATGTGTTGAACAGGATACAGTTCTTAATAGTAAGCAGCCAGTTTGCATGCTTTCTCAAGGCCTTTGTAGGCAGACACATACACCATCATTTATCTCTACTGAATTTGGCCCTAACATTGCCATTGGAATTGCACCGTATCTTTCATCGCAGTGAGAGCTCTGACTTCAGAGGAGAATTCCAGTGTTGGGAATATTTTTCCTTCAGTATAGTTGGATTTAAAAGTATTTGGATTTTTTTTTTTTCAAGGTGGTGTTTTTAGGGGTTTTCTACTGCAGTTTTCCCTCATCATAATTCTTTCAAATACGGACTTTACATCTCATATTTTACCTTCATTCTTCTTGTGTGTCCAGCGAAGAAAAGTGCCTGGTTTTATCAGGTGTTACTTCATTGACAACAGACAGATGAAAAGATTTCTCTGTGAAGTGAAGGGAAAAGAAGCTGGGCTTAAAGTGGACTTAAAGGAAAAAAGCTTTTTTTAAGAACATCTGGGGCCTGGCTTTCCTTTCACTTAGGCCTGATTAACTTCCTTGTCTTGCCACAGTGACACCTACATCCAAGTAGAAGCAGGTCGCGTCTCAAAATGCAGCAAGGGCAGGACAAGACTACTAGTCGTTTGGAACAAGTACTCATTTCATCCCAAAGAGGGAGCACAGGCAAAACACTTCTCTTGAAAGAGCTGTTAGGTCATTCCAGCACATTTGTCTTTCATCTGCATATCTAGCAAGACTCTGTGAAGACAGAGGAAATCAGAAGTAGGCTGCACGACAGCACACTAGAAAGTATACCAAGGCCTTTCTAGTCAATTTACATCTATTGACCCAAATGGATTCTAAAGCTGTAGATGCCTTTACAGGTTTAACTTTGAGCTATTTTGTGTTTTGATAATGGTACTGTATCTAAACAGTGCTTGTTTCTTTTTATCTGTATTTGACATGAAAAAAAAAAAAACACCAGAGGAAGGCTGCAGATGTTCACTGGGCAACATGGGAAAAACTGTTTCTTTTTAGTGTAACCTCTCCTGTTTATTTCCACCAGCTGAATAACTGTGGCTTCTCTTTTCAATAGATATGTCTTTAGAGGGACAAAACTTAGAAAGATGCAATTGCAAGTTACTCGTGCTTGAGTCTTTAAAGATCTCTAAGGACATTATTCCATTTTGGACTAAAAGTGCAGGATGCTTTTATATAAAACTTTGTGTTCAGTTTCAGTTTTTAGCAGCCAGGGAAATTTGGGTCGGAGTGGAGATTGCAGGTCCTTGAAGGAGGGGAAGAAAGTAGCAAAAAAATCCACTTCTTACATTTTGTCCTTGAGATGTACATTTCCAATAACATCTCAGTAAATCTGTCCAACACAATTGTAAATTCTTGTTTTCTATGCTAGGGTAGTGTATATCCATCAAATTATAATTTCAAAAGATATTTTTAGGCTGTTGTTAGAGGAATGGAAGATCACAATCCACCACTTTAAATTGCCTGTCTAATTCTGCCCTTTATTTAAGAGCTGTGAATCAGAAGCTTTTCTCACTATATGGCTTAGAGGATTTGTGCTGCACTGCACCACCCAGTTTTCTCTGAGAGGAATTATGAACAGTAATTTTTCAAAAAAAGTAGTATTCTCTAAAAATTTTGCATGATTGGAGGCAAAGTCTTGAGATGGATTCACAGACAGACTGCTATGATGAGGTGATTGTTACTCCTTTTTGTATATATTTGTCTGCTACTAGTGCTCTGCACATAGCATGCAGTTTATTAATGCATGACAAGGTTTTTGCTCTAGTTCACAGGCTGGACTATTCTGTTGATGAAGTTTCCTTTTACAGAGGGGCAGCTGAGAGTGGATGCCAATGTTTCTGTGCACCACCCTGGAGAGCCTTACGGAGTGAGGACTGAAGTGAAGAATATCAATAGCATGAGATTCCTGGCAAAAGCAGTAGGTAAATGGTGGTTGCTTCATTACAGGATCATTACAGGTATTTCATGCAGTCTGACAAATGCCAGTTTGCTTCATCTGTGCTTCATCGGGGTGTCCAATCCAAACACTTTACCCAGAAGGCCCATTTAAGCTCAAGCTGGGGCCTTCAGACTTTGCTTGAACTACATCACAGGTGTGCCAGTTTTCAGTCCTGTCTGCTTATGGGCAATGGTCCTGTTCGGTAGCTTTGTTCCCAGCCTTGTCTCTGGACTTACCTTCTGCTGCTTCTGGCTAAACTTCCTGGATGGACCCCGCACCCAACTCATCCTTTCACCTTGGCTTGAGACTGTCAGTAGACCATGTTAGCACCACATGGTTCTGCTCGTGCTTTTCAGAGTAGTGGAGCTGCACCAAACAGTGAGGGCACTGCTTGTGCTGTGGTCACCCTCAGCTCCTGGCTTGTCCTCCCTTCTACAGCAGCCTTACTCTTGCTGCTCCCTGACAGAATTAATCTTCATCTGGAGTACTCTGGGGATAAGCAGCCATGTTAATCTGCAGTTTTGTTGCAGAGGTAACCCTCTGCCTGCAAGAAGGTTGAAGCAGATGAGTCAATGCCTAGTTTTAGTACTGAAATATGCTAGAGGTAGCTGTGTCCTCCAGCGTAGATGATTGCTTTCCACTGAGTATGGCAGCTGGTCTGTATGAAGTTCAGATGCAGCTTGGCTGTGGACAAGAAAGGATGATTCTTAGAACTCCAAAAGAAAACTCAACTGGGTGATAGGAAAGTCACTGAGAACATATGGCTGTAGTGCCTGGGAAAAAGTTTTCTATTTAAAGGGAATGAAAGAAGACGAGGAAAACACACAAAGAAAGAAGCAGTGCTGGAGAGAGAGACAGTGACTGATAATTCTGACTGTAACTACTGTTTATTTCATTAAGGTTAAAATAACAAACTATTCCATTATTCCATAGCAGTGAAAAATGAAATAGTGGAGTGTACAAAAGCTAATAGTGCAGTGTTTAGCAAGCTTATTCTTTTTTCTTTTGTTTCTGTCAGACTATGAAATACAGAGGCAAATTGAAGAACTGGAAAATGGAGGAACAATACTGAATGAAACAAGAGCCTTTGATTCCAAGCTTGGGTGAGTTTTTATTTTGGAGGAACTTCAGGCATAGCAGCTTTAGAGTGCCAGGAATACTTAGTGACATGATCAGGAGAGGTGATGTAGTATTGTTCAACTTCTGTCTTCTAAAACTAATGCTCACAAAAGCATAATCTCCTCACAGGTAGTAATTTATTCTTAAAGTTGAGGCTTTTTTGCAAGAGATAGTGTGCTACCTCCAGCAGTATGTGTGTGGAAATGACTGCCCTCTTGTATATACACATTCTTTGAAGCAGCCTTAAAAAGCTCTCCTGATATTTGTGAGGCAAAGTGTTTTGGTTTGTGCTTTTGCTGTAAAACTAACTCTGTGGTGTACTACTTACCACATCTGACTTGTTTTGTTTTTATTTTAGGTGCACTGTACCGATGAGAGACAAAGAAGGAAAACAGGATTATCGGTACTTTTTTAAATAAAATTAGCATTTCAAGAACTGAGAATGTATTTCATTTCTTAAGTGTAAACAGTCTAATAAGCATATAGTTAGTCAGCATAGTGAGTATGCAGTGGAAGTTTACCTTCCACTGGAAGTGGAAGAGAGCAATCAAAATAAGTGTGAGTCTGAGCAGTTCAGATCTGGAACTGTACCTCATCTCAGCTAAAACACATAGACCTTTCCCAAAACCTAAGCTGGAGTACCTGAGTTCCAAGTGGGTAAGCTGAAGGTTTACTTTGTGGACAGTACAACTGTATTCTTAAGAATACCTGAGATAAAAGATAAGGATACACTGAGTTAAGCATTGCTGCCACTTTAAGTAAATACTGAGGGAACTGATTTTCAGCTAGCAGGCCCTGCCTCTCAATACTGTACTTCTGTGATCATAATCACTCTTGAAAATTCTAACTACTATTGAAAGGAGTCAGTATCCATAGGCAGGTTTCTACCTTAAGATCTTTGTAGACCTAATGAGGGTATTGCCTTGCCAAGTACTTCTTGCCTTCCACTAGTATGAGATGCTATCTATCAAACCATAAAGGGCTGCTCAAAAAAGGATTTAGCTGGAAGGCAAGGAGACAAGGCATGAGTCCCATTGGGAGGCAGTGGTGGTGGCTACAAGTACAGGGGCAACACTGCAAAGCAGCAGCAGAGTTGCTTAGTGGGCTAGCATGTGAGGCAATCACAGTGCTGTCTGGGTGGAATGGGGAGCAGTGGTGCAGCTCAGCAACTGCTGACTGCTCTGGGCAGACCTTTTCCTGCTTTGTGCATGCCTGCCTCCTCCCCTCCTTAGGGACATCCTCCCAGTAGTTCCCTAGCTTTGCACCTCAGACACAGCCTTCTGTAACTCCCGTTTTCACTTTCCAGCTGGAGAATTGTAGTCCTGCAAAAGATCTTTCAGAGCCTCTTAGCTTTGCCATGTCACTGTTCCTGTTAGAGCTACATATATTCTACCACTGATCTTACTACAGCAGAGCAAGGATTTTGAAAACACCCCACAAACTTTAAATATTTCAAATAAAGACCAGAAGGGTTATTACTATCACTAAGGTTGTAGTCAGTGGAAAACTGGTTTTCAGATTTTTTTTTTGTAACTTAACCACTGGATGTTATACATTAAACTTAAAATCTGTGTTTAGGCAGATTTGAAATAGAAATTATTATATTAAAGATAGAGGATACCTAATATCCGTTATTCTGGTATTTTTGAACTCCTCATTTGATCATGTAAGAGTGAAATTTCTGCTTGAATCACAGTTATTTGAGTGGTTTGAATTGGGCTTCTCTTTTAGGGAGCCTTTTGTTCTGTGATGGCACCTTGCTGAGCACAGTAACTTTGCTTTTAGCACAGCATGAGATTTTGTCAAGTTTTTTGAAGTTAGTCTGGAAAAGGTTGTGACGTGCCCAAGCCACTCCTGGCATTTGGCTGTCAAGCTGGGTTTTTCCTTGCCAGTCCCACTCCTTTTTTGGTCCAAATCTGCAATTCATGCTTGATGCCAAGAGGAGTGGTTTCCATATCTATTCTTAGAGTCTCTATTGGGATTTTTTATTACTTTGGATGCAGAAGTGTCAATTACCCCTTTTCTATCATCATCTCTTTGACATTCAGTGGCAAATGGTCAAAGAAAATACAGGCTTTGCACCAATCTGGGGCCTGCTCTTACTACTTCATAGCGATATATCAAGTCATGAATTTTTAATATTTTGTTTAGTTGAAATAGTAATACAACTTCCAGGTAAGTATAAACTTGTGAGATAAGTTTTATTCCTTGTTGCTTTGCTTCTGACCGAAAAGAAAGTTGTTTTTCTTCATTTTTACTAGGTTTATGCCAGAGCCAAACCTTCCTCCATTGATTCTGTATGATGCAAAATCTTTGCCAGCTAATATGAACCATCAGCAAGTGGTAAATATTGATTGCATTCGTGAGAGACTTCCTGACCTCCCCAGTGTGAAGAGAGCAAAGCTTGTTGAACAGTATGGGATTCTTCCTGAGCACAGCTTCACCTTATTGGTAGGTCTATTGATCATGTACTAAAATAAGCCTAGAAACTTCAAAGTTTTGCAGTTTTTTTTAAAGATTTACAAATGTCACATTAACCAGCTGTCAGTTCTCATGGGTGTTTTTTATTTGGAAATACATCCAATGCATACCTCATATTTTGGAGCCATATACATAGAACAGTGGGAAAAGAAGCCATACGTAATGTGCCTACAAGTGTTTCTCATGCAAGGTGCAGTCAAATATCTATTACTTAGTATTGATTTTGTCTATACACATGGATGCACCCGTGACTGACTGCAGCAAATGTACAACTTCCTGCTGGCAAATCCTTGTCTGCAAGTGCCTGCTCTTCTTGTCGTTGGGTCTAGTACAAGGCTAGGCACATTGTCAGTATTTAACAAATTAATAGGCGTGTTTTCCTGACTGCAGAAGCAAAATCCAGAGTTAGAGTATTTCAGCTTCATATGTCCATTGACCTAGCTTCCACATTATTTTTCAAATTCCTAGGTAAGCACACCAGAGTCCAAACTTTGGCCTCACAGTGCAACTAACCAAGGATGGATTCAGAAGAGGGGATGAGAAAGAAAAGGGTGTGGTGAATATGGGTATAAAGAAGGAAACAACAGCAAAATCTCAAAACTTCCAAAATTATTTTAAAAGACTTTGAGCTTCTTAAATACAAACTGCATGACCTCTGTTTGCGAGTAACTCTCTGGGGGTGGAGGGGTTAGTATTCCTACCTAATTTATATTAGGTATTAGATATTTCATATTTCAATATTAGATATTTCACATAGCCATCTGTGGCAGGACAGTGTCCTGCTTTGGTTACCTCTCATTTGTGGATACATAAGGAAAAGGATTTCTTCAGAGTAAGGTTCAGAGTGGAACCACAAGTACTTTAAGTTGTCTTTTGGAGGAGTTCCTTTGCCTGTAAATGGAGGGGGGGCAGTGCACATACCTTAACTGCCTAGTACCACTTCTTTCTATATCTGTATTTTAATACACTTGTACAGAAGCTGATTCTACAGGAAAAAAAAAGTTGTTCTTTCTTCTGAAGAAGACTGTTAGGAAAACTGCTTTTGTGGTGTTGTGCCATTTTAGTGAGCTGCAGATCTTTCACTGTTTGGTGGGCTTGGTGATTCATAAGTCTCATCAGAGTCATGAGGCTGCAGTGATAGCATGTATAAATAAACATAAATATCTTTTTAATGTATATATATTTATGCTGGGCTTCCCATAAGGGGAACTGCAGGGTGAGTGCTGGGGGGAGGCTGCCAGCACTGCCCCACAGCAAGCTGAGGGATCCCTTTTCTGGGGGGTTTTGAAGGATTTCAGCAAGCCCCAGGTTTCCTGTTCTGTTTGGCTGTGACAGCTCCACCATGAAGTATCACCTGCTGGGAGAGACACAGTCGAGCCAGGAGCATTGCCACAGCAGGACCACCCTGTGTCCCATTCTCTCCCAGAGACCCCCATCTCCACAGAGCAGGAGATACTTTGCTGAGACACACCCCAAAATCGCTGGGATGAGGCGGTCCTGGAGCTGTTACCTGCCTTTTCATGTCTCAGACACCCCCCCCTCCCCGAGACACTCCTGAGACCCCTCAAGACCCCCCAAGCCACGACTGAGAGCCTTTCAAATCCCTCAAGACCCCTATTGAGACCTCTGAACCAAGACACAGCTGTAGCCCCAGCTCCAGGGAAGAAATGCCCCAAACATTTTGCCGTTTTGGGAAGAAATGTGGAAGGAAAAAAAAGAAAACAAGATACTCTTTTATTTTATTTTTCTAAGTTTGGAGTTTTTTCATTATAATTGGACAATAGCTGGAGATATTTTTTATTTTTTTACCCCTGGGAAACCCAAAGCTCTGGGGGAAGAACAGCTGAATGCCGGTGAATGGGTGGTGGTGGCATCGGCTGTGCTGACTCATCACTGTAATTATTCTCATTATCACTAATAGGCATGTGGGGAAAGGGGCATTTGTCACTGCTGGAGCGTTTGAGGAAAACTGGGTGGAAAAGAGGTGATTTTGGTTCAATCTGCTGGAAAGGGTCTGCCACTAATGCAAATGCAGTCACTCACCACCTCTCACAAGCAGACTGATGCGTAGCCAGTCTCTGACCAATGACAGTAACGACCTTCTTCAAGATCCCATTCCCTCAGTTTTCCCTGTTGAGCAGGGCATTAATATGGCATGAAACATCTCCTTGGTCATTTTGGGTTAGCTGTCCAGGTTGTGTCGCTGTGCAACTTGGTGCCTACCCTCAGCCAAATCACTGTGGGAGGCAGAGTGGGGAAAAAGAGGAGATACTGCTGAGGAGCACCCTCAACACCAGTGTGTTGTTAGCACTGCTGTAATCACCCAAAACACAGCACCTTATGGGCTGCTCTTCAGAAAATAAACTCCATCCCAGGCAGATGTGAGACACCCACTCATTTCACTTAGCATCAGGCTGCTTCTTGCATGTTTCCATGTTGCTAGTATTGGTGGCTTCTGATGTGTGCTTTCTGTCACCTATCAGCTAGCCCTACGTATTTGACTCGTCAACTGCCCTTTCTCCCACCTGTCCTCTGAAATCCACCACTGCCTTTGCTTTTTTCCTTTTAGCTTTTTTCTTTTTCCATTTTGCAATGTGTAAGACAATTAATGCGCTCCAAGCTGAAGTTTGGGATTCAGCTTGTAATAAGTTAATGCACCCATTTGAATGCATGAGGTGAACGTGTTCTTCATTGTGGGTCTTCTTTTATTGTCCCTTGGAATGTCAGCGTGTATACTCTCCATAAAAGTTGCTTGGCTGTTCACTGGGAGACTTGTTAACCTTAATTCATCTGCAAACGGTGTGTCCATCGCTGTGCTAAGCTTCCAACAGAAGTTGCAGAAGATTGCTGATAGGGCCAGATGCACAGATCTAATGAGCATTCCTTCAAGTTAGAGCACCCAGGAGTGCTCATTAAATAAATGGCAGCAGTAGAGGGATGACTCTAAAATGCAAAGTCTCTGTTCTGCGCCAACTTGTTAGAGAAAACATTATGTGCCCAAGTTACAACAAAACAATACCACACTTCAACGTGCAAGTGAGTTTCTGAGCTTGGTTCCTGGGCTTTACTCTCACATGCAGTAGTTGCCTGTACATACTGCAGTACTGAGAATCTGAGACTCCTGCTTTGCCTCATTACAACATGTACTGAAATGGAAGGAGATTACCTATTAGTGTCTTTGTACTGGAAATTTCTTAAGTGATATTTGCTGTGGTTTTGACAGTTTCATATAAATTGTGAAAATCAATGACATTTCTGATTTTCGTCATGGTTTAGCCCCAGCCAGCAACTAGACACTAGGCAGCTGCTCACTTACTACTCACTTACTTACTGTTGTACAGTACAGCATTGGGAAAAAAAGCCTGATCACTTCCTTTCTCATCTGAATTACAACACTCCCTGTGCATTTGCTGTTCCTTGGCTTACTCAGATTACAGTGGATGTTCCTCTTGGGCTTCGGCTTATTGCTTTGGCGGAACAATTACATTGGTGAATCCTTTGAATTCACCAATGTCAAAGTCAAGTCAGAAGTGGGATGCTGTAGAAGTTGGTTTTGACCATTTTGTTTATGACATGCCATCCTTGTACACATTGGTGTGCAGGTGAATTTATGCTTATTTTTAGAACTTTATTCTAAGAACATTTTATAAGAAGTGGTAGGAAGAAGTTTGATCTTTCCTTGACTGCTCTGCTTGTCTGTTTTATAGTTAGAACTTAAATTATTTTATAAGAAGTGGTAGGAAGAAGTTTGATCTTTCCTTGACTGCTCTGCTTGTCTGTTTTATAGATTATTTTTTTTTTTTTTCCCCTCTTGGAAGTCTTGAACATTTTTGCAGTAGTTGTTACCTCACAGCTGGTTGTTGTGGTAACTGTGATAGTGAAAATGCGAATAAGAAAGCAGCAAATTACATTTTATTTGTGAATATTCATGTAGTTTTCATCTTCAGTTCTTTGGGAAACATTATTATCTTTAAAAGCCTAAGATTGTATTGCAGACCCAGTGTTCCTAAAGACTGTACCATTGCTATTGTGTAAAATAATGTATTGTTTTAAACTTGCTTAAAAAGCATCTGAAATTACTCCACCACTAGTTCTTTCTGACATCTCAGTACTATTAAATGATCGTTTTAAACAATGTTTAAGAAAGAAATTTGTATCTGGTTGAAATACTGGTATGTCAGATTTCACGCCAGCGAGCCTAATGAATAAGTTACAGTGTATTTGGTGTTTAATGTGAGCAGCAAGTGGGCCTGGATCACAAACACAGTGCTGCAATTCCAGGTTTCTGGTTTCCCTTCTATGAAGATAAAATAGGTTGTTCAGAATTAAGGGAGAACCGTCGGTGAGCATCCCTGTAAACCAGCATGTTAGAGCGTGCGGTGGTTTTCAGCTCAGATCTTTCACAAGGAACATGTGTGCGTGTGCTTGTTGCTAGTTGGAATGAATTTGGCAAGAAGAAAGCTGACCAAAATGCAGAAGAAATTAAAGTCACGTTCAAGTAGTACAGTATCCAGAAATTGATGCTAATTGAGTTGTGCCTGCACTTTTTCTAATACGGCAAGGAAATAAGGAAAATGTTTCATTTCTGTCAATCATTTTGATGTTTTGACACTCTGCCTGCTTCATTTCATTCCAGCATTGCTAGATTTTCCTATTCTTTTGGCTACAGAAAATGACAGTCACTTAAAAAAACCTAAAATGAAATGTGAAGAAGTTTTGAGGAGTGTGTCTGTTTGTATGTGCACAAGTAGTGAGCGTGGGCTTTGGTACCTGGTAGCATATGTAAGTCTTGTCTGTCTGTCTGAGTATTCCTAGGCTTTTCTGCTTTTGCTGCTTGGAAATCATCTGATTAAAATGTGAAGCCTAGGTGTGTTCATCATGGATTTTCAAAGGTCTGGCAGCAGGGTCAGAGCTGTAGCTCCAGCCAGGCTGTTGGTATCCAGAAATCTGGATGAGCCCAGATCATCCAATCAGTTAGAGACAGGCTCTCCAGCCTACATGTGGCGGAGGTGTTGGGCACACTGTGCCTGGGTTGTGTGGCCTGCATTCAGACATGTGGCATCTGCAGACGTTGTGTGCATGATGTTATAGCTAGACCTACTCTGCCTGACGTGTTTGTAGAACCTGCTGCAGCATGTGTAGAGAAACCAGTTTTTATACGTGCTTACTTTCTCCTACCTAAGGGAGCATTGAGTTCATTGGAACTCAATGTTTAAGGGTCCAGGAATCTCTTCTATTTAAGCCTTTCAGAAACCTCTTGATGAAATTAAATTAATAGTACAAAAGCCTAAACATTTTCTCTTTCTCCTACCTAAATTGGACAGGTGCTTTTGTGGAAGGGAACCTGCTGTTTAAATAATCAAAGTTTGTTTGTGCTGATGAATCCTGAGGTGAATTAGGAAGAGTACAGTATTTAGTAATGCATCATTTTAGTAATTCCACTTAACACACATGCAGTTTTTAATCAAGTTTACTGTACTTTGGTAATCATGTAATTCCTTTACTCTTTTGTTTTCTTTTTTGTCCCCTAGTCTGTTTAGCCTTAGATTTTACATAATTTGATTACAAAGTAACCGCTAGTTAAATTTATAAGAGCACTGGAAAAGAAGGGAATTATGTCTGTTGTGTGTATTAGATAAAATGGGGGAGTTACAAGGCTTACCTTGGTTCACAAAAGACTTCAGTGGATTTCCTAGGCTGAGAACTTGGCTTCTTTGCTCACGGCCTCAATAGTTTTATAGCACATCAACCATTAATCTAAGTACATTTTGTTCTGTTTCACAGGACAGAGAGCAGTATCCTGCAGTCCTCTCAAAAGCCATGCATCATCACCAATGAAAAATGTGAAATCTAGAGCTGTTGAAAGTTTGTGCTGTGAAAGTTTTGAGGAGGAAGGTCTAAAGTTCTGTATTGCTATGGTGATAAATTGCCTTTAAAAACAAGGGCAAATGAGACCATTTTGATGGGATATGTCTGAGTGGAAAAGTCAGCTTTGGTTTAGTGTGTACCTGCACTCTTCTTGCTCAAAACTGTTCAGAGATCTGGCTGCAGTCAGTATGTGCTTGGGAAATGTTTTTGCTGTGATGACAGCGTACTTAGAATAGCTCCTTGGCTGTCTCTGAACCGTTACCTCTCAAGTTCTGAGAGCTGGCTTGTCCTCCTGTGTGTTTCTGCCACACTCTGCAGAAATCCAGTGGCATGCTGGATTTGGATTCCTCCTTGAAAAGATAGGAGCTGCCACTTAATATCTGTTAAACCTTCACTAGACCTAATGAGTTCTGTGCTGTGGTTAAAGATCCATCAATGCCTTGATGACTAACAGCACAGCATTCAACAGACTGTGCAGTATCTGTTCTTCTAAAAACAATCTCAGATTTCACTTTGGCTATAAATTGAATCTCCTACTGTCATATCTTCTGAGCATTTAGGGTGCTGTGGAAAAGCTTACATAGCTTCCCTGAAAAAATGGAAAAATAAAACCCTGCTTCTTGGAGTATGACCTTTCCATATCATTGAAAGGTAAATGCAAGCTAAACGTACTCCTTCAGTCCAAAATAAATAGAAGTGATTGCAAGATCAAAAGTGTCTGTAGACAGTTTCAGGAAGAACCTCTTCTTGGTAAAAGGTAGCATGACAGCCTGTTAGATGGCAGCATCGTATTTTCTGGCATTATATGTACTTAAAACACTTGAGAAGATGAGAAAGCTGCTTCCCAAATGCTAATTTTAGGGAGGAGTGAAGAGGAAAAAAAAAAAGATAGCCTGTGTGTTGGAAGTTCCATTGAAACAGGCAGGCTGGCAGGTACCTCTTCTGGACATAACGTTGTTTGTTTGCTTTTGTGTTAATAAAATTACTCTGAAGTCTTGAGAGTTTGCAGTTAATTCAGAAAACAAATTTTACTTTAGGATTGAGTATTTATACTGCAAATGTAATTGTATAATGAATCATGTTTGCACTCTGGTATCTTTTTGATGCATTCAACTTTTCTTAAACAGAATGAAGACGGTTTAACGGAATTCTTTGAAAATGTGGTGAAACAGACCCAAATGAAGCCAAAGAAAGTGATCGGCTGGGTTCTCAAAGACCTGCTCAGTTATTTGAAACAACATTCCCTTACAGTAAAGGAAAGGTCAGCCTTCTTGATTACTACAGTGATGAAACAATAGCCATCCTTTCTTCTTATGCCATGAGTAGTATCGTGTTGCTCCAGTGCTCACTTCTGCTTTCAGTTGCCTGTGAAGTTTGTTAGGCCAGGCAGCACTGCCTAGGCCTCGATGCTGTCATGCTGAATGACATTCACCTAAAACCTTGCAGAGAGGAGGACCGTGTAGTTAAGAGCAGTAATTGGAGTCTTCCTTCTCTGGAATATGACAGCGGTACCGGGCGTAGGTTGGGCTATCAATACCAAAGGTGAATATTATCATGAGGAAAAATACTAGCTTGTCATGCTAAAATGTGTGATCTTTAGGCAAGCAACAGTAACCTAGAAGTATTACTTCACGTTACTCTCTGAGGTAACTTCTGCCCCTTTTTTTCCCTAGCCCAGTCAGTTCTTTACTCCTGGCTGACCTATTGAACCTTCTAGAAAAAAAAGACATTTCTTCCACAGCAGCAAAGCAGGTGAGTACCTTTTTGATTGTACTGTACTTTGTGGCTTCTTACTCCATTCACAGAGCAATTTCATAACCAGTGTGTACCAGTACATTGGTTGCTTTTATTTAGAGTACTGATGAAGTATAAACTGTGTATCTATTCTGTATACATGTGATTGATGAAAATGCCTCGTGCGTGTATCATCTTTCAGATAATCTGCATATTCAGCCCTAAAAGGGGGCACAAGCCAAACAGTAGATTTAAGCAAAGTCAATTAAATAAATCTTGCTTCTGAACGAACTGGACACTAGATCTCCATTTCACAGTTCGAGTCAGACCTGAGTGAAAGGTCAGCGGGAGCTAATAAATGACTTGCAGTTAAGCTGAAGGTATCAGTTACTAGGCCCCAAGGGACAGGGAGGGCTATGTTCCCAGCTGTTAGCATGTGGGAAAGGATCTAATTCACCTGAATGTAGTCACAAAAAGAGTTCTGCTTTGCTGTACCCCTGAGTCAAAAGTGGAGGGGTCTGGCCTTTCTTTTATCCATGCTGCTTTGAGCAAGTTCTGCTAACAGCCTCTCAAACAAGTACTGATGGTAGACCTAATTTCTTCCTTTTTTTAAGTATCACCTTGCTTAGGACAGTCTGAAAAATCAGCTCTTGATTATTTGTACCTAAAATTGTGACCTGCTTATGATGGGTATGGTGACTGCCGTGTCTATAGATAAAATTCAGAATGTTTTTTTGTGATAGGGATAATCCGTCATTCACCTTAAATTGTTGCCAGCTCATTTATGTGGAATGTTTTATCTTTTCAGATTAATTATTATCCTCTAGATAAGTGCATTAGATGACTGCTTCTTCTCAGGTGTTCATCAATGAAACAGTTAATGAAGATATTTAACTTGCAATGAAGATATTTAACTTGGCTTGTGTGCTTTCAAGCTGTTAACACTCTGCAATACACAGGGGCGAGCTCCCATCTTTCTAGCACATACTGATTTAATCCAAGTACAATTTTGGAATAGTACTGAAGTCAGTTCACTTGTTTTTTCACAACTATAAATCAAGTGTGACTGTTGCAAATGTGGCTCTTTACCCAACTTGGAGACACTTAAACTTCCTGCTTTATTGTCTTCTTTTTTTGAGATGCTTCTAGTTCTTGGTCTTGTTGGTCTGCTTCTGCAAATAGCCAGCTGCATATCAGAGGCGTCATAAATACAGATATAAGTGCCTGACTTCAGGCATGTGCATTTGGAAATTTTGGATTGGAAAAGTGAAAGCTCCAAAATGGAGATAAAGTATTAATAGGAGAAGCATCGGAATTCAGAGCGCTTCTGTGCCCGCGGGGTTGTGGCACACCCATCAGCTGGGTGTCTGCCTTTGAAAGGGAAGGCTCAGAGCTCGCTGGCGTTCCTAACCCTCCGAGGTAGGGACAGGGTACCAATGCTCCTCTGCAGGAGTTCCCTGCCGTGGGGTATATTTGTGTGCCAGCACTGCCGACAGGTTAGGAAATGTCGAGAATTTCAGAGGCGCTTTTCTTTTCAGTTACCAACTCCTTAACGTGGGTCTTGTCCTTGGTGTTCTGAAATGGGACACAGGGAAATAAGAGTCCCGTTTGCCATTGCAGTGTGACGCTATCAAACTGCAGAAACCTTGCCACATTTAGAAAAGTATTTTGGTTGCCTGGATGTCGGAAGAATAACAAACGTTTAGAACCATTCTCAGCAGTAGGCAGAGATACTGGATGGCCCGAGGGCAGAAGGGGCTATATATACACAGCAGCAGAGGAATTGCAGCACTTGGGGTGGGGGAGAATGAGCTGCAGTGGGAGAGACAGATCCAAGGAGAAAGGATGGAAAGGTTCGATGGGGTGAGTGTGCAGACATGATACATGTACGTGCTCACTGCAGGAAGCTGTTAACAGTTTAAATTTTTTAAGAGGTTTTGTGTTCGGTCTCTGCTGTGTAAGGCACTAAAACACAGGCAGATAAAGGCTGAGAGCACTGATTATAGGCACAGAACATTGTATGGTAGGATGCACATGCCAAGGAAAGGGCACTGTGTGCTTACATAATTACCACTTAGATAATTACAGAGCTCACGCCCAACTTGCCATCAGATATAGCCTCCTACTCCAGAGGTCTCTGAAGCAGTTTCAGCCTGGCATGCTCGTGCAAAGGGGAGCAGCTCCCAGCTCACTCATTGTGCAGGACTCTGGGTGAGTGTGTCCTGGACCAGGAGCCTGCACAGGCACGTGCTGTGGCCCACCCCCGAGGCACAGTTTGGAAGCCCAAAGCAGGAGCTGCAGGCGCTGCTCACCCAGGGCTGAAACCAATCTGATGGGCAGTGCACCTGAGATGGGGCCTCGGTCCTCGTTTGCAGGGCTGGCAGGGAGTGCATCTCTGGAAGATGGGGCTTGCCTTTGGGCTACGGTGGCGTGGGAGGAGGCTGGTTCCTGGGCCAAGGAAGCAGAAACTTGACCCTATTGCTGAGAGCCACGCTGGAGCAACTCCATGTGGACACCCTTGTTGGGCGTTCATCGGTGGTCTGTAGCAGGGTGTGGAGCAGAGCAGACCCCAGGTCTTGTTTGCTGCTGCAGTTGCACAAGTCACTTGTGCAGGAATAACTTAAACAGGCCCTCTTGGCACCCCTACTTTAAAGTAGATAGCAGGGAAATAAGTACAGTACACAAACCTAACCAGAACCATCTGCTTTGACAATTATGGCTATACCATCTGGAGGACTGGACCCGTCCTGCCCCTCACTTTTGTCAGAGGCTGAGGGACAACTGCCAGACATTAAGGCTTCTGTCACTGGAAAGGAGAGATGCCCAGAGGACTGACTGGAGTGGTACTGCCTGCTGCTTCCCTCCCACCCTTGGCAGCGGATCACTGCAGATAGGGTTTCCAGTTGGAGCATTCTCAGGCACAGCAGTCAGCTGGCACGTTCACCAGTTGCAAAATGTTTGATATGATGCCCATGGCAGCCAGACGTGCAAGTCCTGATTAATTCATCTTGACCAGCGGTTTGCTGCTATGCCTGCATAGGCAGAGACCAGAGAACATCATTAAAATCTAATCACGCTCAGGCAAGAATCAATAGTAGAAACTACTGAGATTTCAGTAATGGAAATGAGGCCTGAGATTCTCGTTTTGGCTCTGGAGACTTCATAATTTGATCCTCCTGTTCTGGTGCAGGCAGTTTGTGTAAATGAGTTGAAACAATTTTTTAAACTGCTTTCTTTAGATCTGTTCTTCTTGCCAAGTGGAGAAACACATTTTAAAAAGTGCATCTTTGACAGGTCTTGGCCACATCTCCTTCTGCTTTCCTACATACCTGTAAACAAGCAAGAGCCTTGATAACATTGTTGCTCTACAAGCTACCTGGAGATGCTTGTTACCAAATTGAAAAGTACACATGATGCTGATGTCATGGGGAAAATCTGGTGCCTTTGAGGTTTCTAATGAGCAAGCTCTTCTCGGTGCCAGGAGACGTTTGGCATAGGAATAGCAGGGAATGGGAGCTGGATCTCTGACTGTCAAGCTGTCCTGCCCCTCATCTAGCTTGGCCAGATGTACGAGTTGCTCCTGGGTAACTCAGCCACGGTTGGCTGCATAGATTTTGTTTGTTGCAGACTTTCCCATCCTGCAGCCCATGGCATCCTGCTGGAATACGTACCAGTCCTGCAAGCCACATCTGCCTTTTTCCAGGAGAGTGGCACGGCTTGTTTGTTGCCCAGCCCCTGATTTGGGCAGTGCTTCAGAGTCTCCAGGGTGCTTTGCTATGGGCTGTGCTGTGCGAAGAGGACAGGGCTCCCTCTGAGGGGTGATGTACCTTCCTGGTGCCTCCAGAGGCCTCAAAACCAGAAAGCTTCCTGCCTGGTCCCTGAAGAAAGGAGCGGGAGGGGACTGGCTGGGGTAGCAGTGGAGTGCAACAAGAAAAAGGCAAGTGGCTACAGACAGCTTGAATCCCTGTTGGATGTATTTCTTTGTAGGAGTATTCCAGGTAGCAATGGCATGATGACAATAAAGTGCTGCACTAGAAGGAAGATCTTGTAGAAGACATCATATACTGCACTGATTTATTTAGATAGAAACATCTGAAAGCTTTACTTATAGTGGCTGTCACTGTGGCTGCTTATCAGTAACTTTAATATTGTGATCTGCTTTTATCCCTCTTACAGAGGAAAACCAAGATGTAGCTGCCACAGCACAGCTGTGTGTCATTGCCCTCTCTCAAGGTCTCCAGCAGAGTGATAAGATCCCATAAAAAGCTGTGGGGTACTACTGGCAAACAAATCTCCTCTTGCAGGAGTTGTGTTAATGCATGGTTCTTAAAAGCCTGTTGTGGATACAAAATTGTGGAACTGAAGGTCTTCCGTACCAGAAAATTCTTTGTGCCTAAGAAAATTGCTGGGGTAGTTACGATACCATGCCACACGCTTCATGTTTCCTAAGTTGTCTTGCTGTCCTGATAATTATTTAACCTGCAGTTGGAATGCCCCTTCTTGTCTCCCTATCCCAGCCTCTCCTTCATCCTACAGAGAGTACTTAATGCAGAAATCTTGACACAACCATTTCCATACTGATACACGGCAATGGCCCAAACGTACAATTACATCTCCAGCTCAGGACGGAGCCCAAGCAGCTGTTTTAATAAAGATTTTCTTTCCCTCCTCCCACAGCTCTGAAATAAGAGCAAAGGGAATACAGAAAATGACTGGCCTAGGAAATTGTTTTTTTATAAATGTTCTCTTCTCTCAAGTTTATTCCAGGGTGATAGCCCTGCTACAGGGTAGGAAAACACACTAGCATTAACGAGTGATTGTTGCAGAGGCGCGGGTCGGGCTGGCAGTGGGGTGATGCATGGGGGGCTGGCGCTGCCGCACCCGTCCCCGGCACCGTCTGCCTCCCGCTTTGTCACGCGCGTCTTCGTGGCAGCTTGCTGAAGAGGGCCCATAATGGAGCGAGGTACCTGGGGTTGGACTTGGTACGACAGCCAGCTTGTCACCAGGCCCCGGGCAGAGACGTTCCTCATGGAAATGCATTTCCTTACTGCTCCCAGGCAGCTCCTGAATACCGGGGGAGCAGCCTCACAGCCGCACGGGCCTCCGCCGGGGTGGCCCCTCGCCCGCTGAGGGCTCTGCTCCAGGAGGGACCCTACCCGGGGGTAGTGGTGGCTCTGGGGCTGTGGCAGGGCTGTGAGCCATTAACCTGTACTCCTGCAGAAAGGGAAAGGGCTTTCTCTTGTTTCAGGATGCAGGAGAGGAGGGAGGGTACACGAGCTCTTTCAGCGAGTCGCAGGATTAAATCCTGGATTTGTTCACGTTCAGACAGTCTGCTCTGGCTTTAACTAAAATCTGGCTTCTTGGGTCAGTAACTCCATACTGTACGTAAACAACATTGCTAAGTCCAGCCACTGACCTTCACTGCTTGTTGTGATTTTCAGGTGTTTGCAGAATTGTGGAAGGAAAAAGGGAAGACTCCTCTTGAAATTGTTAAAGAAAAGAAACTTGAACTGATACAGGATCAAAAAGAGCTTGAAAAGATCTGCCAGGCGGTGATTGATGGACAAGAAAATGAGGTGATTATGATGGTGCTGGGAAGCTTGTGCACTATGGCAGTCTGTGGCATGAAAAAGGGGGTAGGAAATGGCCTTTTAATTTTTTCCCTTTTGATTGGCATTTGAGCTCTAGAGCCAGTACAGAAGCATTAAAGCTGCTGCTGAGATATTATCGGGCTTTTCTTCTCCTTTCTTATTTTGTTAAATGGGGTTTTTTTTGAAATTGAAGCTTACACAAAATGATCAACAGAAGAAATTACCAGTCTGGCTAATGCGCCAAGTCATTCTGATAGACTATAAAAATTTAATGCAGGAAGCAAAACTGCAGGGCCCTGTCCCTCTTTAGCTACACTGCCATTAACCTGCCCTGGCCACCCAGCCACATAACTCTGGTTTTTATGTCATCTGTTGTGATATTAGGGCAACACTACTAAACTGTTCTGAAGCTGGAGGCTGAAGTTACTTGCCAGCAAGGCATATATTAGTTATGGAATTGGAGACGGTATCAGAGCTGGCAAGGCACAAACTTTACTTGCATCTGTTTCTTCGCCATGTCCCTGTCTCCCTGCACTGCCAAAGAGATGAGTCTAGCTGGCTCTCCTGCCTGACAGTGTCTGGAGGGGAGGAGGAGCTGAAGGCTCCTGTGGCTCTGGAGATGCTGCCCGCTCTGCTGCTGGGTTGTGGCAGCAGCACAAATGCTGCAGTAGGAAAGATGGGGTTTGGCTCTTCCCCATCTCCTTGGAAGGACATGCAGCAGCAGCAGCCTAAAAAGGTCTGAGTGCGGAAAAAGGGAAAAACCCTTTTTGAGCATGAAGGGAAAGTGTGGCAAGGGTTCTTGACAAAGTCTAAAATCTGCTTTATAAAAAGTAAAATGAAAACAAGTGCTTCTATGTTCTCTGGAGTGAAAATGTAAAAGCAGAAGCTAATAGCTTATTTCTAATATAAACATTGTCTGGATACATTTGCCATTTCGAAAAAAACATTAACATCTTTTGAGAACAATACCACCCACCCCAGATCTCATTGGGGGATGCTAACAGCTCTGCAAGAGCTTTTGATAAAGAAAATGAGCTTGCAGTAGGTCGGCGTGACCTCCATCAGCCTGACTCATTTGCAAAGCACGATAAAAGTGCTGCTGTATTTTCAGACTGGTGGAAGTGCAAGGGTGGATAGAAAGAACATTAGAACCGACTGGGAAGCACAGAAACCAGGGGTCCATAGCAGAACTCCCATTTCAATGATAGTGCTTTCTCTGAGAAGGTAATTCCTCTCCATTTTTCACTGTTCTAGTGAAGCCAAATGCAGTAGAATGGCCTCATGTCCCTACTTTTTCCAGGTTATCTTCTGCCAAGGCAAAAGCTGCCTCAAAGGCCTGTAAACCACTGCTCTGGTCTCCTGCAAGAGCTTACCTTACAAAACAGCATTAGTTGAGTACTTGATGGGGGGGGTAAGGTATGCTGTGCTTTCTGATAGTCAACTTTTAAAAAAATTAACTTGCAAATAGTTGCTGAAATCAATGCTGAGCGCTTTATGAAAATGCAGTGCCTGGATTGTAGCTCACTTTGCTCTATACAGGCAATTTCCAGATCAAGAGTCGTGAGTCCCTTCCATATTGTAACATTACAGAGAAGATTTTAGACTGCCAGTAATTCAGATACCATAATGAGTAGCAATATTTGCATTTGTGCTTGGTATTGGCACAGCGGGCGGTTCATATGTTCACAATCCTTCCCTAAATATCTGTAAATATGACATCCTGTTTAATTGAAGCAATCGTGTTTTGCCCAGTAACTCTGACAATGTAGAGAACGTTCTCCCTGACACACAAACACTAGGAAGGCCAGATGCATTTTTTTTCAGCAGTAGCATCTCCTTTAGGAATGCTCAAAAGTGAAATTTCCAATGCTTTTTTCCTGTGTCTTTACTTAGCTTTTGAACATGGCCCTTGCTATTTTGCAGTTGATTGTGCATCAAACAGCAACTGTCTGATAGGAGGTCGTATTTCTGATCTGTTAATTAATTGCTATGTTGCAAAGGATTCCTTGCTTCAAGGGAATAACATGCTGTTACAAAAACACCTACGTCTGCACTGGAAGGACCTCGCAAATATTATCAAATAGATGATGATTCGATGCAAATTACTTGTTATAACTGAACAATGTGTTTAGTAAAAATGTAGATCTTATTAGCAAAAAGAAGTCAGTCTTGTTTTTCTGGCTCTTCTCCAGGAGGTCGCTGTTCAAGTTGCAGCTGCTGTTCAAATCCAAAAGCGCTTTCTGAATTTTTTTTTTTTCAATAAGAGGAGATATTTCTATTAGTTGAAAGGCCCTGCTGCTGTAGGGACTTGCTGTTTTGTTGTCTCATGGGAGCAGAGCGGGAGCTTATTGCAAAGCTGAAGGCAGTTTTTATAAATAACACCTTCACCCAAAATACAGTATTCTATCACAGTGGTCTAGAGGACAAAAATATTCATAGCTTGGCTGCGAATGAGTGAAAATGTCCAGGTTTACTCTAACAGTGGTGTCTGTGTTGTGGGTTGTTGTTTGTTTTTTTTCTTTAAAGGTTATGGCAATATCCGCAGGAAATCGAAAAGTTCTAAATAAGTTAATTGGCCTGGTACAAAGAGAAACCCAAGGACGAGCCAATCCTGTTCTGGTGAAGCAATTACTAGAGAAGAAGCTGTCAGAGTAGCCGCAGGAGAAAACCGCCCAGGTATCTGCAGAAGAACGTGTGCTTCATTCTGTCTGGTCCACTGCCAGTGAACTTTGGTGCCTCCTCGTGCAGCATCAGGATTACTGGGTATCCTTCACGCAGCGTGATGTCCTGGCCTTCCCTGGATGCATCCGTCAAAAGCAGGCGAGCAAAAGAACAGCAGATGATGCACAGTCATTTGCATCTCCCTCACTTCGGCGTGGGGTTTGGAAATGGATTTCCACAGCCCTGGGAAAGACGTTCCCAGGGGTGCCTGTGCACGTGCAGGGAGCTGAGGCTGCAGAGGTGAGTTTTGTAATAAAGCAAGGGTAAACTCAGCTTTTCTACCTGCGTTTTTGTGAGATGGGGAATTCACAGCTCTTGAAGGCAAGATCTGGTTGGTGCACACAAACAACTCACTGGAACTCGGTGTGAGCATACTTGTAACAATGAGTAAAACACCTAGCACTAATTAAGACAACCACATGTGCCTCCACGCCTAGCAGATGGGGGAAAAAAATGTCCACTGCTGTCATTCCTCCTGGTTTCTGAGGGACAGGTAAAGGATGAAGTCAGTGGCTGCTGAAGTGCCCGAGGCAAGTGCCACAAGCAGAGGTAAGTGCCTACATCCAAGAATCCAAGCACTCGGGTCAGGTTGTTTGCTCACCTTCCTGCATGCCCAAACATCTGCTTTGCCTGCTCGCAGCCCTTTCAGTTCTGCAGAGTGCCTCATGCACGTGTGGCTGTGCCCTTCTGAGGCCCGTGTCCCCCTGTGGCCTGCGAGGCCCAGCAGAGGGGGCGTGCTTCTGCCAGCCCTGCACAGCCTCCCGGGAACAAGCAGTGCCTTTCCCTTGTGCAGTAGCTCCATAAAGGAGCTGCTTGTTCCTGTCTGGTGTTTTACTCTGCTGGCCAGAACCTGACCCCCTGTTAACAGTGCACTGAGTGCAGGGCTGCACGCTCCTCTGGGAGGTGGCTTTCTGCTGCCACCAGACACGGCACCACTTTATGGAAGGAACTGAAGATGCCCTTGGCTTACCAAAACAGAGCAGGATTCAGCTGGGTTCCAAGGCTGTTCCCCTGTTTAATCCTAAGAGTATTTTATGCTGATGGGTTTTTATACCTTCCATTTCTCTGCTCCTAAGCTTTAAAGTACCCACTGAAATCCAGGGTCCTAGAATTAACTTCCCAGTCCCAACCCACTTCAGCTGATCAAACCATTACTGGGAAACACAACCAGAGGCAGCCTATCAAATTTACATTTATTAGGGAAAG